ACTATTTGAGTAAAATATAATACAAATCTGCATTTGTAATGGCCAGTTCTAAGTCTCACTTGAATCAACATCTTTCTGGTAGTGGTAGTCTATATAGTTTTAAAATCCACGACTCCTTTTCCATCAAATTGGACCGTTAATACCCTCTAACATTGATCAAAGTATGCACAACTTTATATATACGACGTAAACACAGCTTTTACTCACAGTATGGGTCAAAGATTCGTGAAATGCGACCAACTGCTGATGCGTGATTTACATGTAGGCTAAGTGACTATCTTTATTCCATACAACAAATTTAATGAAAAAAAAAACGACAAATATAGGAATATACTTGAGAAAATTATCTAAATAAATAGCATAAATGGCTGCTTACTAGGTTATCAGCATTGCCCAGTTCGTATACTATTAATTTTTTAAATGAAACTCGAATTAATATAAAACATTCATTTGGTTAAAATAATATATCGGTTTGATATTGATTAACATAAAATAGTTTATACATGCAAACTATCAGTTCTATTTCACGTAGGCCTAAAAAATTAAACAACCCCTAAATAAAATACAAAGAGAAACAGTATTTGTTAATTATTATTTCTTTTATTGCTGACAATATTCCCGTGGCAGAGCACGGGCGGTTAACTAGTTGTTTTAAATCTTCCGAATTCCAATTTGTGGAAACAAAGCATCTTGGAAAGTTTGGCTAAAATATGTTGAGCCATTTTGAGTGATTGTGTTTTTGTTTGGTGTCTATGGAAGTTTGTATTGAAGCCGATCCCAACGAGCTTTGCTTCGCTCCGCTCTATTACAGTACTACACACTGAATACAATTTATTGCTAAAACTTGTATCGATAAAATGGGGTAGAATAAGGCAGAAGATAGTCAGGTTTGCCCCTTTTACAACTGAAAATCTTAATATTTCAGCTAATTCTTATTTGATCTTTTTGAACTTGGTGTCGTTTGATAGATAATTAAAAATTCTAAACAAAATTGTATTTGGAATATTTTCATAAAACCAGCCAGTTTTGAATAATTTAAGTTTAAAAGTTTTAAACGGCCACCATTTTGAAATTGTAGGTTGAATCTAGATGAACTTTTTTTCTAACACGGGTCTCTTCTACCTAACATGCATACCAAGTTTCATAAAAATGAGTTAAAAACATTAAAATGCAAAAATGTTTATGTAAAAAATACAAAATGGTGGATATCTGGTTAACAAAGCGATTTTGGAAAAAAATTATTCTTGATTTTCTCTTTATTTTTACCCAAGGAATCACTAGGAAAAATATGTCCCCCACCCTTATTGAACACCCTGTATAATTTATTGCTAAGCTTTGTCGCAAATGTGCTTAAATTAATCACACAATGAAAAATAGATGCTATCCGCAGGCAGATGGATGCACGGGCAGTCGTAGGGAGTACGGTAGGTATCGGTGGACCGCGCGAGTTGCGGAGGAGGAATAATAGACGAGAATTTGGCGTTGAACTGCTAGTGCTGCAATTAATTGCAAGCCAGCGACCGGCGAACATGCCGGCGACTGGCGAGACTGCGTGTTTCCTAAGCCAACATAACCAAACACCTGAAAATACAAAAAATATGTCTAATAACACTTGTAATATTGATGTTTTAATTGACTGGGACCGTGACATCGTCCTGTAATCCAGATACTTGGAGGTCAAGAATTATGGATATTTATAGGCATGATCTGTGGATGCGATCGATACTCCCTGGTGTGGATTAACATTCGCACTAGTAAGTACAGCTCGTGACATCTAAGCTGGCACTTGGCAGAGCGCGGGCAGTGTATGCGGGAGGAGGGTGGAGGTAGGGAAAAGACCGGGCTGCAAACATTTCTGCTGCCTCACGGGGTTGACTCCCCTTGTAAATGTAGGCTACTTGGGTGCCTTCATATGGGTCGCGAGGATATTTGGTGCAAACCATATAACGGGACATAATGTTTTTGAACTAGATACTAGTAGTGATCGGCCAAGTGCCAGCTTGTATGTAATGAGCTGTACTACGACTATCAGTAGTACAGTAACATCCTGATAGCTACACTTCCATATCTGTTGGCACAAATAACCGAATGAGTCACAGGCCTAATATGATTATTGGATTGTTTAATTTGTTTGGTTAGTTGATTAGGTTAACCTTACCTAACTAGGCCTAACCAATCAATATATCGAATAATCAATATATCAATCAATATTTTCATTCAGTTGTTTGTGCCAACAGATATGGAAGTGTACCCCCATTTATTTGTTAATTGCAAGGCAAGTCCCTTAGTTGCCATTAGCCATATAGGCCTATGGACTATTGATTAAAGTCACGAAACATGATACTGTATGAGTCTTGTAACTGATAAGATGTAACAACAACTCCCCTACAAAATTAGCGCTCTATGGCTTAACCCTCCGAGTGTTATTTGTCGCTGCAGCGACACATAACACACTTTGTGTAGTGTTTTGTTTCACTGCAGCGACTCATAAACTCTGTTTACGGCGAAGGCTCTATGACTGACAAAATCGGATTGAACTGGATCGAGTTAGGTATCGTTTTATTTGACAGATTCAGAGCTTTCTCCGGAGGTCTGTCTCTAAGCTCTATTCATTTTAGTTCCGAAAATATTGTAGCAGACAGCTGACGTGCGTATTTGTAAACAGCTTGGATAACCTCGGACCGATGACTGATGTGTTTTATTACGTTTATCATTGTTTTAGTGTTAAAAATCAAAAGTAGTTATAAGTTATAAGTTACGTGGTGCATTATAAGAAGATTTAAGTGATTTTGAAGGGCTGGTTGATGATCCTGAAGAAGTAGGTAGTGATATTGATGTAAATTATCAGCCAGATTCTTAGCTATGGTTAGGCTAGGCCTATGCATTCTTAGCTAAACGCTATACTGAAATCTGTTTTTTGCCCATAACTTATTTATTTGCAAATCTACTTCCTTCCTATTATTATATATTTGTAATCCTCATAAAATTTAGAGCAAAGTGGCTATTTTCAAATATTTATAGGCCTATAATTTATACAATTTCATTGAGCGCGAACCTAGGCCTATTTTTTTTTTTTTTAGTTTTCCAAAATATTTTTTTTACCTAAAAATTTTTTTTGAAACAAATGTTCCTTATGTTCTATGTATAATATTGAAGCCCATGATTTCCCAAACAAAATGGCATATAGAACAGTATAATTAACATTGTTTTCAAGCTTCTCAGATCCGTTTTAATATAACCTTGCAAATGAGCAAAAAATAGGCAGACATTAAGGCCAAAACAAGGGACACTCGGACTTCGGAGGGTTAAGGGGACTGTGACCGTAAAAATTATCAACAATTGACATTTTTATTTTTTGGTCTTTTATTATTAATTAAAATATTCTGATTACAACGGTATAATTATTTTTTTCCTAGCTTGACTGGAAGTTAGTAAAAAAAATAAAAGAAAATGTTTTTAAGTTACCTGGTCTCATAGTAACAAAACATTGTTTAGTTATCTTGCACATGGGCCTACGTTTTCTGCGATTCCTGTAAGTTAGCTTTTTATAACTTTGATGTCACTTTTCTCAGCTATCTGTAGGACTAGAGTATCCAAATTTTTACCACATATTTAATACTTAATATACTAGTTCCTCCCAGAAGGATTTTGATTTATCACACCCACGAGTCGTAAAAAAAATTTTTTGTACTAAATTTCTAGGAAAAAAATTGTAATTTTTTGAAAATTAAAAAAAAAACACTTGGTGTAAATATATTTTTTAACCCTCCGAGTGTCACGCGTCATAAAAACGACGCACAACACACTTTGTGTAGGGTCACGCGTCGCTTTTAAGACGCACAAACATCGTTTACGGCGAAGGCTCTATGACTGACTGAATCGGATTGAACTGGATCGAGTTAGGTATCGTTCTTTCCGTAATATTCTAAGCTTTCTCCAGAGGTCTGTCTCTAAGCGCTATTCATTTTAGTTCCGAAAATATTGTAGCAGACAGCTGACGTGCGTGTATTTGTAAACAGCTAGGTTCCCCCGGACCGATGACTGATGTGTTTTATTACGTTTATCATTGTTTTAGTGTTAAAAATCAAAAGTAGTGATATACGTGGTGCATTATAAGAAGATTTAAGTGGTTTTGAAGTGCTGGTTGATGATCCTGAAGAAGTAGGTAGTGATATTGATGTAAATTATCAGCCAGATTCCTAGCTATGGTTAGGCTATGCATTCTTAGCTAAACGCTATGTACTGAAATCCGTTTTTCGCTCATAACTTATTTATTTGATAACTTACCTCGCTATATGATTATATATTTGTAATCCTCATTAAATTTAGAACAAAGTGGCTATTTTCAAATATTTATAGGCCTATAATTTATACAATTTCATTGAGCGCGAACTTATTTTTTTTTGAAAATTTTCGAAATTATATTTTTTTTTTACCTAAAATTTTTTTTTTTGAAAAAATGTTCCTTATGTTTTATATATAATATTGAAGCCCATGATTTTCCAAACAAAATGGTATATAGAACATTAGAATTAACATTGTTTTAAGCTTCTCAGATCCGTTTTAATAAAACCTTGCAAAGGGGCCAAAAATAGGTGGACATTAAGGCCTAAACTATGGACACTCGGAGGGTTAAATCTTCTAGGAGGAACTAGATAAACATATGGCCTTTAAAATAAAAAAAAAATTAAGGCTCTACCTGTCATAGTTCTCTAGATATGTAGCATAGATAACATTATATAAGATAGGCAGTCACAGTCCCCTTAACAGTCCTGTCTAAGGGACATGTTGCCCTTGGTCAGTAACAATAACCAAAGTATTTAAGTATCGTTTATGTTTTTGCAATGATGCTATCGGTAATTTAATTACATCGATGGTTGACATCATTGATATAAATGTTACCATCGATGTTGAACGTCGATGGTTGACCTACCGTATCTATGCTCATTACATGATACTAACCAAACTAACCAAAGTTAAGCCATGCTTATATTACTTACCGGATTGTGAGACATTTCAAAGAAGTATCACAAGGTTATCTACTGGGGCAAATGTAAATAAATAAATCCCAACTCAATCACTAAGTACGTTTTTGGCTGCATTAAAAAAGAAAATGGCCTAAGCGAATACAATGCTGACATTCACATTAAGAAAACATCTTAACTTATACATCGTTGCCATCGATCAAACTTAATAAGTTTGCATAATATGCTATTTGTCAGTACAAAAAGGAGCATAAGATAAAATCCTGACTGTAGACTAGGCTAATAAAAATAAATAATAATATTACGGTAAGAGGTTATGTGACTCATTCCGTGCCGTCCGCTGAATTTTTATTTCAGGGTTAGTGTTGCCTACAGTATTATTTTGAGGCTTCTGATTGGCTGAGGGAATATCATTACCGCAACGATACGGATCGACGTCAACGGCCTCGGTGGTGTAGTGGATGGAGAGCTGGGCTGATATTCCGAAGGATCTGGGTTCGAATCCAGGACTAACCAACAAGGGCTAGCCCACGGAGCAGAGAAAAGTGACTCCAGCCCCTCCCAGCCCCTCCCCCCCCCCGTGACGTCATGAGAAGGAACGATGCCACACGCCGCCAGCACGCAGCGCCTGGTATTGCGTTTGCGTTGCAAATACACTGTCCTGCAGCTCTCTACGTTAATGGAATTAGAATCAAACTTATATATTTCTATTCTGCATGAATTGACGATTCCAACGGTGCAAATATATTTTGGTTTAATAATGTCTGTGATTTGTAATAACAAGAAATACTTACCTATTTTTAAACGTGTGACATGAAAATGTAAGTAAGCGTAAACTTTTTTTATTTTTGAGGTAGAGACAAACTTTCAGCGAGAAAGTTGTAGATAATTAAATTATCTACAACTTTTATTGCAAACATTTTTTTATAAAACTGCTGGTTCGATCAGTAATGCAATGAAAACACAAAACTTCATTTAACTGCTGTCCCGGGGCGACGCACGGCCGGCCGTACCGCGTTTTGCCGCATATTGTTTTGCGACAACAATTGACTTAACATATTATTATAAATATTTTTAATAGATATAACTTAATAAATGTTTTTCTAAAATACATTTAAGATTTACAGTAATAAAATAGATCAAATCTAACTAGTATAATGCCTACAACGGAAAGTGTATTGTAATACTGTAAAATCCTTCAGTTGTATTACAATTTCATAATGTGATTTAAATTCATAACATACGGTTATATGTAATAAGTAACAGTATATTCCAAAAGGGTACATTGCTATATTCATTTACTTATAATATTATTTTAGTTTAATGATATTTTCTCAGTATACATTAGATAGCTCATGAAGAATAACAACTTTTGTCCTCATGTATTAAACACCGACAAATAGGATACATAATATTCTAAGGCAAACATGGCTGAAAAATAAAAACATTGGCATTGGTGCTGTGAATATTTTTAATTTACATAAATGTAATAAAATACGGTAAACAACTTACAAAATAATTACTTTGGTGTTTTGTTCCCTGATTGTACCCATTTTGACATTTTTTGTGTACTTTTTCTATTGTCTACTACTTTATTCAGTCTATTCAGATGCCTAATCCTAATTATAGTCCTTAATTTAGCATAGAGTTTAATTGCCATCGGGCAGACACTGGGATACTTTTCTTTTAATACTTGTTCGAATCTTGCCACTACTTTTCTTTCCCTGTCAAGGCCACTGCCATGTTGCATTTTGAAATCATTTTCAAATAGCATCACTTGCTTCTTCCATCCATCTGATGGTTCCGTAAGACCTGAAATATAATGACCCGTTTCAGTTACATGTTGTATTTTTTCAGTCGCAACTATGCATTTTTTAATTTCCATCTCAATTTATGTATGTAATTAATCTGTACTCAAGGTAAGTTATACTTGAAGTTGTTTTTTTAAATAAAAACCAAGAGTCAATAAGTATTAGTTATTACAAGATAATTAATTAATTAACTAATAATTACAAAATATGTTTTGTGTGTGTCAGTTACGGAGAGGCTAAAAAATATGACAATTACATTTGTGGAATTAGGTTAAACTGTAACGAGTTATAACTAAAAATATTCATACTCGCAGTAAACATGAATAATCAGCGAATTTCAAATGCCAGCATATGTAAAGTACAAGTAAATAAAGTGTTATTAACCACTACGTTAATAACAAAACAGCTAATTTCCTATACGGGAAATTCGCTAAAATTAATCATTATTTATTAATTTAGTAAATTAAAGCTTTTACCTCCACGAGAAATAGATGATACCCAGCTTTTCTCCAGGGTTGAATTCTGCGGTAGAAGACTTCTTGTAACAGTTCCCAAGCTTGGGTCAAGGTGTTTGACTTTGAACGCTACGTATCCTGCAATATAATTAATAGCTTCTTGTTCAGCCCAGTCCTTTTCTTGGCCAATAGGGAAGTCGTCAGCAGAAAAACTTTCGTCTTCATCAAATGGTTCATCAACCGTTTCTGTGATTTTGACCTGCTGAGGTTCATCAAGAGGAGTTACTTGCTTATCGGCTTCTTCATCGGCTTCTTTAGCACTGAAAGCAGAGTCTAACAATTCAGCTGTTAGGTAAGTGCTAGTTGATGTCTTATCATCCTCAACAAGCTGGTTCGACTTGGGAGATGGCTTAGGTAATTTATTAGAAAGTAACAGTTGTTTAATCCTGTATGTTACTTCTGTGGCAGTTGGATGGTCGTTAAATCTTCCCATTCCCCTCAGTTGCCCAAACAAGCTTTCTAATACATCCTGTGTTAGTCTCACGGTTAAAATGTGTTTCAAGCCAATTTCTTTTAGATCTTCGTGAAGTTTCAGAAGTGAGGAGATGGACATGAGAATCCCTTTTTGGAAAGGAAGGATGTTCTTCTTTCCAATGACCCTCATTGTTGAAATTGTTTGTTCAACTTCTGCTAATATTTTCTTCTGATCTCTAAAAACATTTTCATCAATGCCAAAGGCGAAATTCATAGGGTTATTCCCATACAATCTTTTGCTGTTCATGAGATCGAAAAATTGGTCCATTAAATCGAAGAAATCTGAAGCCTTATTATTACCTAACAGCACCAATATAGCCTTAGCCACTGTGTGTGAGAATACTGCTTTAGCAGGGCCGACTTTTTGCCTTGCATTTCCCTTTAAAGCTAGAAACTCCGGTTTGAGTTTATGGCATAGCCTTATTTCACCTTTGTCTTTCTCTAACAAATCAGTAAGTAAACTTACTTTTATTTCAGTTCCGTCCCCTAACTTTAAGCCGCTGTCCAATAAGTGATTTCTCATTAATTTAAAATAATGAGGCATGTCTGCAAAAACGTAAATGTTTCGAGATGCACAAGCAGGGTTTACAAAAGAGTTATTGTCAACGCATATTTTTAACTCTTTGTACAAGGTATTGCAGCCCCCTAAATCGGATACAACAGCAACAACCCGTATATTACTTGTTTCTAATTCTTGTATTATATTAAACAATATATCTTTATTCATCGTTGTATCAAAAGAGTAGTAAACAGGTTGTTTCCAGGGGGATACTAAGCCTCTTGCCAGAACAACCTGGACTCTTGAGAAGGGTCCTAGAGCTTGGTCGAAACCTGCGTGGTAACAAATTTTACTATCGATGTGCATTTCATCGAAGCTTAAAATGCACGTTCTTTCAAGGTCAGTCATTGTTTCTGAGCTTTTAGACATAAGTTCTAAAACATTAGTCAAAAGACCAGGATCACATTGAAACTTTGAACACCATCTTTTTAAAGTTGATGGTGAAGGCAAGGGGAAGTTCATTTTTTTCCTTAAAAATTCATAGGTCTTCTGATTGAGAGCTCTTAAAACTATAGCTCTAGAAATGTCATCAGAGTTCCACTTCACTGTACTTTTTTTACTAACAACAGCTTTTATTTGGTTTGCAGTAAAGATCTTTTTAGCATTGTTAAAAAATGAATGACACTGTTTATTACATTTCGAACTTTTTACTGAAATGTTTTTTTGCTTGGTTAAGGCCATTTTCAAATTAGTTTTAGTTGTCATTAACCTTTTAAATTTTTTTGCATTTACTTTAATTTTTTGTTTAGCTTTTTGTAGTTCGCTTTTTAGTGCGAGCAATTCACTTTCAATGGCTTCAATCTTTTTTTGTTTTTCTAAACAATTTAAACAATCAGTGATGTTCTCTTGACTACATGATGTGTTAATACTTTTACTACTTACATTAATAGAATTACTTTCAATATCTTCTGTCATTGATTCAACATGTTCCAATCTAGGTTTTTTAGGGCTTAACGTTTTTAAGCGATCTAAAGCTGCTTTCTTAATTATACGATTGTTGTGTCTTTCATACCTTAAGTTTTCATGGTGGTCTTCGTCACTCGTCCTATTTAAGTTGATCGATGGAACAGCACCCTTTTTCAAAATCTTTTTTTGTGGCAAGCCAAGGAGTCTGTTTTTCATATCGTCCTCATAATCACTAGGAAGAAAGTGGTCACTACAAATCCTAGCATTGTTTTTATTTATAGGATCTGCCCTTTTGCATTTAATTTCCCAAATAGAACTGATCGCTGGATCTTTAGGAAATGTGTGATAAACAACACCATTAGTTTTTCTTTGATAATTTGCGCACGTTGCTACAGAACAATTAACAACCATCGTAAACAATTAGAGTACAACTCACATTTCACCACACACTATCACCAACAACACTACTATAAAACTGTAACACACACATGACAGAACGCGGTGAGAAACGCGACTAATAAGCCGGGTAGCAGCCACGTGGTCCGCGAGTGTCCTTGTAGCTACGTCATCGAGGGGGGAAGTAGGGGAGGTGGCGGGGCCGGGCGGCGCGCTCAGACTTCAAAGGAGTGGGCCAGGGCACCTATAGCACAATTTTTTGTATTGGACTTTTTCATTATCAACACGTTTGGTATTTACTCAGGGGAGGTATAGAAGAGGCTACGATGACAGCTGTGGGCTTCTTATTAGCTGAGGGAACGCCATTACCGTAACAAAACGGTCGGTATACATCGGCCTCGGTGGTCTAATGGTTAGCGTGCCGGGCTGATATACTGTATGTCCCGGGTTCGAATCCTGCTGGTAGCATTAACTTTTTGTCCAAGATTTTTTTATTATCAGCAAGTTTGGTTGGTTCGGTTCGGTTATTACAGTTTAATTTTATTATTAAGTCATTATACAATTTTAATTGAGCAAATTCTAGTTTTATTTAATAAATTATTAATTATTTTTCCGATTACTAAACTTTTGTTATATTATTTCTTTATCAGCAAGTTTGGTTAGTTCGGTTAGGT